TATGTGTGGTTGGTTCGAATAAACTGATGAATAATATGTTTGGTTGAAAGGATAAATGGATGGATATGTTATATAGATTACTATATTGCCCTTCTTTTTTAATATTAATAAAACAGTATGTTATATTATTATTTTTTGAATAATTTCTTTTAACCTCCTACTTTTCAGGTTTAGCAAAAACACCCTAACAACTAAAAAACATTTTAAACTTAACAAAAACACCTCTACCCACCCCAAGCCACTGCCAGCAGCCAGCTACCACCGCTGGTGGCCACTAGCAGTGCCACAGATTTGGCCGTGACGGCGGCAATGCCACAGATCTGGCCATTTCACGGCTAGATCTATGGCTATTTCACAGCCAAAGATGTGACCGTGAAATGGCCACAGATCTGGCCGTGAAATAGTTAGATCTGAATCCATGGTTGGAAAAAGTCTCACCGGCGTACGGCCAGCCATATACACGACCGATTGTATGCCATTATGGCAACTTTTGGCACCTCCTACTGCGGTTGACTGTGGCTGGCAGTGGTGGCTAGTTTTGGGTATAATGACATTTTTGTAAATAATGATAATAACAAGGGCAATGTAGTCCAAAGAAATTAAAAAGCGAAGACAAAAGTGTCTGCATGAGTGAATTTGATGTTTTGTAAATGTTAGCAAAAATATAAAACTAATTTAGACCAAATGTTCAACTGTTTAGGGGCAACATGGGAAACAAAATTGTATTACCAGGGGTAAGTTTTAATAACAGCACCCCCCTCCGCCCCCAAAGGTATTAAGATTCCTAGCAATATATCCCCCAAAATGCTACTGTTTGTCATAAAATATTTGGGGAATAATTTTTTACAAACCAACTAAATATCGTCATCTGCTCAATTTAAAAAATATTATCCCAGTAATCTAATATTAACCCTATCCAAACGGCCCCATAGAGATGGATATATCTCCCAATTATAGTTCATTTTTCTAGAGAGAGATAATGGACGTAGCAAGGAATTTGGTCTTAGATGGGCAAGTTTATATTACAAAATCATTAATAAAATCTAAAAGGAAAATAATAATAAATTAGTAATATTTAACTGCAATTTTTTGTCAAACACATTAATTGTAATTAGATGCACTCGTGCATAATATATATATATAATATATATATATATAATTAATATATATATATATATATATTATAAATATATATATAGAGGAGAGAGAGAGAGAGAGAGAGAGAGAGAGAGAGAGAGAGAGGAGAGAGAGAGAGAGAGAGAGCAGTTTGCACATACTTCAACTAATCTCTCAAGTTCATTGCACACCTACAAGCCCAAAGGTATCGGGTAGTTTACTTGTACCTTAACAATCTACGGGATCCATTAAATACCCTAAAAAAAATGACTAGATAAGTCACGGGATCCATTGAAACATCTTTAAGTCCAAATGACAAGTATGTCACAATGTTATTGTGGTGGTGGTCCCAAGGTTTGAATTAAGAACTTAAGGAAGAGAACAAACCTCTTTGATCGTAGACAAACCCATGATTTATTGATATTTTTATTAACTCATTATATATACAAACAAAGAGCTATCCTAAGATGTAGTAAGTACACGTAATTAAATAATTTTATGTAAATCTGTAACATACATGATGTATATTTTATATGAGAAAGAAAAGTTGAAAAGAGAAAATAATTTTTTCGTGTGTGAAAAGAATCAATTTAGTGTCTCATCGGCAAGGATGGACTAACGTTGGACCCAGTGGGGGCTGCTCACTCGATTGAACCCAATGTGGCATGCTGATTTTTTGGTGTAAAGTTATTATATATAAGGGACATTTGGATCATATAATGTTTTATTATAGGAGGATATTAACGGAATAAAAGATCACCTTGAAGATTACGAGAAATATTTATAAAATGTGTTTGGTTGGTTTGAATAAATTGGTGAATAATATGTTTGGTTGGGAGGATAAATGAGTGGATATGTTATATAGATTACTAAATTACCCTCCTTTTTAAATATTAATATAACAGTATTTTTTATTATTATTTTTTGAATAATTTCTTTTAACCCCATATTTTTTAGATTTAGCAAAAACACCCTAGCAATCAAAAACGTTTTAAACTTAACAAAAACATCCCTACCCACCCCAAGCCACTACCGGCAACCAGCCACTACTGCTGGCGACCGCTGACAGTGCCACAAATCTGGTCGTGACGCCGGCAGTGCCACAGATCTGGCTGTTTCAAGGGCAAAGACCTGGCTATTTCATGGCCAGATCAGTCGTTGTTTCACGACCACATGCTTGGCCTTGAAACGGCCATAGATCTGGCCGCGAAACAACCAGATCTAGCTTTTTTCGAACATAGATCTGTAATCCATGTCAAAAAAAGCCACATCGGTGCACGACCGACCATATACGGCCGGTCGTACACCATTATGGCGACTTTTGGCAACCTTCGACTCTGACGACGGTCGACAGTGGCTGTCGGTGGTGGCTAGTTCTTGGTATAAAGGCATTTCTATAAATAATGATATTAACAAGGGCAATGTTGTCCGAAATTTTTAAAAAGTAAGGACAAAAGTGTCTGCATGAGTGATTAGGTGTTTTGTAAATATTAACAAATATAAGGTTAATTTAGACCAAATGCTCAACTGTTTAGGGGCAATATGGGAAAAAAATTGTAATACCAATGTAAGTTTAAATAACAAACCACCCCTCCCCCCCTAATTAAGATTACTGGAAACTTACCCCCCAAATGCTACTATTTGTCATCAAATATTTCGGGAATAATTTTTTACAAACCGACTAAACATCGTCATCTGCTCAATTTAAAAAATATTACCACAGTTATCTAATATTAACCCGATCCAAACGGCCCCATAAAGGTTTTTGAAGTGTAGCAAGTACTTATAAATTACCTTTAATTTCGTATAAAATATTAACAAAAGTTAGTAAATAAATATTATATCTCTCCTCTTATTTTCTCATTTCATACATATTTTTAAGATTTAAAAGAAAGACTTTAAAAAAATCAAATAATAATATAAGACATTGATAACTTATAGGATTCATATTGATCTTGTATATTAAATATTATTGTTTATAAACATAAGTAGTTTAAAGAATTCACTACCAACATAAGATGAGATAACTAATGAATTAAAGTTGTTTGTTACATGTAAATTGAAAAAATATATTATATAATAGTTAATATTTATATTTAAATTTATTATTTTATATAGTTGCCCCCACTCACATAATTGGCCGGGTTTGTCCCTGCTCTTCGGTTCGTTGGCTATCAAAGCATTTATTTCAAATCTTGCAATTAATAAATGAGTTATTATTAAGGGCAATACTACACTTACCGATCAAGCTACCGATTTTTACATACCGATCCACCTGTCCAATTACCCAAATCTTAAAATTTAACTCAATTCACATGAGTCAATATATCAAATCGGTAGTTTAATCTGTAACTCAAGCATTATTGTATTATCAACCAAATGACACTTTTATTAGAAGTCTACAACTATGGGACATGAAGATTAGAGAAGAGAATATGATATGTCCTCATTTATTTTTATTTTTATTTTGACATGTGTCATTTTTCTATTGATATGTTTTTTCAAATTATTGTAGTTTTAAAAAAATTATTTTAAATGAAACTATATAACACATAAAATTACCTTAATACCCTTAATAATAAAGTTAAGGTTATGAGTTTTAAATCGTTAACTGTATCTCATTGTCTTTTCTAATAAAATTGACCTGTATCTATAAAGTCTTGATAAAAGTGTCTTGTAATTGATACTAACCTATAATGAATTGATTATTTTTTGGTAGTTGTTTTAGGGGTGTGCAAAATAACCTGTCGGAATCGAAACTGGTGGATACTCGTGGTTTCGGTTTCGGTTCCTACTCGGAACTGACTCTCACATGGTAGGTTCCGATTCCTACTCGGAACCGGCCCGCACAAGGTTTTGGTTTTAGAAATTAGGAATCAACCAGTTTCGGTTCCATCCCTATAGGAACCGGGAATTGGAATTAGAACTAGTTGGTTCCTAATTTCTAGAACCAGAACCTACCCTATGAGGGCTGGTTCCGGATAGGAACTAGAACCATCAAGAACTGGAATCGAGATTTGGGTACCCAGGTAAGAATCAGGATTGAATTATAATTTTTGTAAACTATTGGGGGTGTAGTAATTTTTAGATGGTCTATTTGTCATACTTTTAAAAAGTAGAGGGTAATTAAAATTAACCTAAGTACCCAGAACCAGAACCGATGTTTCAAGTTCTAGTTCTTGGCTTCTAAGAACCAAAACCGGTTGGTTTCGATTTCGATTCTGATTCCGAATTCAAGAAACTGATTGATTCCAGTTCCGATTCTAATTCCTTTGAATTTGGGTGGGTACTAGGACCTGCCCACCCCTAGTTATTCATGGAAACATTAATGGTAATTGGTAAGGGGTCCTTTTTAAAACAAGAAATTCAGTAACTCTAACAAACAACAGGGGGTTCAGAGTTATTTCTGAAACTAGAGGGGATTGGTAGTTAGGCTATACCTTAGGGGGTTTAGAGTAGTGTTATCTTATAAAATAGGCAATATCTTTATCAATTAAATATGTCTTTTTCATGACTTCATGTGGAAGAAGACGGAGGTCTCTTCAACAATGAAGCTTTGACTGTAGCTATATATGACCAATTCCATAAAAACTTTAACTTAGTAAATCCAGGAGACAAATCTGACTGAGACAACTCTTGTTGAATATTTAACATATACTTTGTCATCTCTTTCTCACATTTTAAAAACAAATAAAATTCACTAAACATCTACTTGTCACATACAGAAAAGAGTCTAATTTTTTTTACTTTTTAATGATGCCGGTGTGACCAAACTACTAATTTGAAATGTTCAATAGCAGTTGGATTGAAGACATGTCTACGGAACGAAGAGTCAATATGGCTATGCAATTATGTTTTATTCCTCATAAATTCAAAGACATGTACACACCAAACGTATATTGTCTATACTCACAACAAAGGCAAGCAAAAGAGAAAGAAAAACCGATTGAAGAATGATTATACATTTTCTGTTTCGGATTATTTTGCTATCATGGTCGATGATGGCATTGGCACAAGCACAATCATCAGGAAACTGTTCTTCACAATGCGGAGTAGTGGACATTCAATATCCATTTGGGATCGAACCCGGTTGCTCTGTCGACAACTGGTTCGCCGTAGATTGCAACTCGAGCAAACCATTTTTGAGGAGTATCAATTTGGAATTGCTTGAAATTTCAATACTAACAAACACCATGAGAGTCAATCATCCGATATACAATTCTTGCCAGAATGAATCAACTAGTCAATTTGTTAACTTGGACACAACCCCTTTTGAATTCTCCTCCGGTTCTTCGAACAGATTCACCGGCGTAAGTTGCAGCAAGCTTGCCTCCATTTCCACCAACAATTCGTTTATTTCAGGATGCTTCTCCATGTGTAATGAAAATGCCACAAATTTAGGGGTAAATAGTAGTTGCCAATCCGGCATCAACTGTTGCCAGACCACAATTAGTTCTCCTCTCAAGAACTTTAATGTATCCGTCGAGGCTCCTCAAAGCAGCATCATCAGTAATGGAGGAAGACAACAGGATTGCAATTATGCCTTTTTGGTGGATCAAAATTGGTTTGGAAACAACTTAACCAATCTTCAAGATCTTCAGAGAATGACGCACGTTCCGGTCAGACTCAATTGGGGAATAGACAGTTCTTCATTCAATCGGTCAGCTGCTTTGAATAATTCAACAAGCTTTACATCAACCTCTAGTTGTACTTCTGGGAGTAGCATTGTTCAATGTAAATGCTTCGAACATTACCAAGGAAATCCCTATCTTCTTAGAGGATGTCAAGGTAATATTCCTCATGTCTGACCAATTTTTTTGTTGACTTTTATATATTATTTGTTCGACAATATACTTATTCACAAATTTTTTATACAAACTCTTTTATGCCAACTCACGTATTTTAATATTATTAGATGACTTTAAGTTAAACAGTAAAATAAATAAATTAAAGGAAATTATATGTTAAACAGACAGGGTTATCATATTAATTTATAAGTGAATAAGTTGAATAAATAATTTATATATGTAACATTACTCTTATTTCTTTTTCAATTGTTATAAACTATAATTACTTTGTCCCTTCTCCGAATGTGTATATATATTTTTTTAAATACTCCTCTCATTAGTTGATGTAGACAAATATTAAGGCAAAATTTTAACGAAATTTTTTAGCATTAGTTGGCATCTCGTGCTTGAAAATTTATAAAACTTTGATATTTTAAGGTTTAGTTTGGGATTATTGTAGCTTGTCCCATAATCACTTATAGGAGAAGAAGTTACAACAACGCTTTTTGAAATGTGTTTACCAAACACATTTTGGGGGTGATTGCTTAAACAAAAATGATTATAAGCTACAACCACCCCAAACTCACCCTAAGTCTTATTAGTTAGAAGAGTTTTCAAATATTCAGCTAAATTAACCAGCCATAAACATGTAATACGACACAAGACTGACATAATTTTTGTCTATTTATTGTCTCTCTTATAATATTAATGTAACTTGATGGTTTATATAATATACAACACAAGAGAGATACCAATTTGGTCTAATAAATTTTTTTATCAATATTGAAATCCTTAACCTATTCATTTTTTTTTAATGAGTGATAAGTTTATCATATAACCTGTGTTTTTTGTACATGGCAGATATTGATGAATGTAACTTAGGCTATTGCCCACCATTTATGATTTGCGAAAATTATATAGGAGGCTACAGTTGCTACCCAAAGAAAGAGTCAAAGGTTTTCGTGATCGTTTTTGGTATGTCATCGGTTTCACCCTTCAAAGTTAAATTTCTAAAGTAGATAAATTAATCTTTGTGAATTATACTTGTTAAACAATCCAAAGAAAATAATAAAAAGAGGAGGCTAGGGTTTCATTGATATTGCACAATTCAATTGAATACAAAAAGTATGATTTAACCTAAATACAAAGATATATATATAGGCTAAACAAAGGAAATAATGAAAAGACAAATCTACCCTTAATAAACAATAAAACAAAATAACTCATATTTCTTAACAATACTAAGAAAAAAAAAATGAATTCTCTCTTCTGATTTCTTACTGAATTATGCAGGTACAGGCAGAGGCCTTGTAGGTTTGATTTTACTTATTGTTGGAATATGGTGGTTGCTCAATATAATAAAGAGAAAAAAGGAGATCAAGCTCAAGGAGAAGTACTTCGAACACAATGGTGGTTTACTTCTACAACAACAGTTAATTTCTTCTGATGGCAGTGTGGATAGAAACAAACTGTTCAATTCAAAAGATTTAGAAAAGGCCACCGATCATTTTAACGTGAATCGAATACTTGGTGAAGGTGGTCAAGGTACTGTTTACAAGGGAATGTTGACAGATGGAAGAATTGTTGCAGTAAAAAAATCAAAAATAGTTGATGAAGTTGGTAAGGTTGATGAGTTTATCAACGAGGTTGCCATTCTTTCACAAATCAATCATAGGAATATAGTTAAGCTTTTGGGTTGTTGTTTGGAAACTGAGGTCCCTTTACTAGTTTATGAATTCATCCCCAATGGAACCCTTTTCCATTATCTTCATGGTCAAATTGAAGAGCTTTCACTCACATAGGATATGCGTTTGAGGATAGCGGGAGAAGTTGCAGAAGCACTTTGTTACTTGCACTTGTCAGCTTCCATGCCAATCTATCACCGCGATATCAAGTCTACCAATATACTCTTAGACGAGAAGTATAGAGCAAAAGTAGCAGATTTTGGGACTTCAAGATCAATTGCCATAGATCAAACTCATGTCACCACAAAAGTACTTGGGACTTTTGGATATTTGGATCCAGAGTACTTTCGTTCAGGCCAATTCACCGACAAAAGTGATGTCTATAGTTATGGAGTAGTTCTTGTTGAACTTTTGACGGGGGAAAAGCCAATATCTTCTACAAGGTCACAAGAATTCAAAGGTTTGGTAGCATATTTCATTAATTGTATGGAGCAGAATCAACTTTACGATATTCTTGATGCTCAAGTACTAAAGCTAGGCAAGAAAGAGGAGGTAATGGCTGTGGCTAATCTTGCGAAAAGGTGCTTAAATATGAATGCGAAGAAAAGGCCCACAATGAAAGAAGTTACAATGGAGTTGGAAGGAATTCGATCTTCAATAAAAGAAGGTCATATTCAGTTGAATTATCAAGAGGATGAGTATGAGAGAACGGAAGTACTTGAGGCTTGGGATGTTGATTCTACTTCTACTGGTACTACTTTTGACCATATAAGTCTATCGATAGACGTCCAACCGCTATTAACCAAGCGTATATCCCGAAAAAATATACAGTTGTAGTGCCTATTTGCTTCATATTTTAGATTAATATTCATGTTTTTTCAGAAAATTATTTTCATTTATCACATAGGACTTGAGATTTTTCTTATACTCGCTCTAGAACATCAGTGGATTGAGTACTAAAAGACCAAAGTAATTGAGCCTAATTTGGATATTCTTTTAATTTGAATGGACTCAAATTTTCACAACACTAATTTATTCCTCCAACAGCAGATCTGCCAGATTAAGAACTGTAGAGTACCGCACCAGATTAATCCTGAAAAAATAACTACATAAGTTGAAATCAAAGCAGCGATAATAAGTGTACCGACTAATAAGAATTCATGTAAAAGATAAGAGGTAAAGAAATCTGCCTCTTAGATTTGCTAAAATGAAAAACTCTGAAAAGTTTCAGAAATATACTATCATTCCCTTAATGGTAATTGTAGTTTATAAAAAGAAAACGCTACATATGGCAATCGTAGGTCAACCGTTGTCAACAGCATTTACTACTTTTGACCGACGTTAATCAGTGTTTGATCGATATTGATCAAGGGAGCTCGATAATACAAGAAAGTTATTAATAGAGCACTAATGGTAAACTAACGAAGTTAACTTTCTTCTTTATAAAACTAACGGCATTAACAGCCTTTTAGCTAAAGAGCTGACATATGTTATTGTGATAATGTTATGTTTACTCATAATCTTATTAATCACTTTATTATCTTTGTTAAAATTATATATGGTATCCATACTATACGTACTCATACTATACGTTATATTTATAAAAGATAGTAAGATTGTGAGTAAACATAGTATTATTTGTAACTAAATTAACAAACTAAACTAATTTAGCAACCAAACAGAAGCAATACAACAACTTTAGTCAACATTCCCCTCAATTAAAGCATTTCAGTCAACATGACTAGGGTTGACTACCATTGACTGGTGTTTTCAGTAGTCAAACAACAGTGTTTACTATATTTGGCTTCCGGGCATTGACTGGTAGTATGTTGGGATTGTACCTTAAATCTCATATTGTTTGGGAAAGGAAGTTGTAAGTTGGAAGGGGACTCTCTCCTTTAAATAGATTAGTAGATTTAAATAGATTAGTAGATTAAACGTTTAAAATATCTTAAAAAGTGTAAGATAAACACAAAAAAGAATAGTAATTATGGGCTCTTATTAAGAGTGTAATTGGACTTTTTGGGATAGAGTAAGAAGTTTCTAATTTTTCTCATCCAAAAATTACACAATTGTAAGGTTTGGCTTAGTAAATTATTTGAATAGATAGTGGATATAGGCTAAATTGAGTGGGTTGAACCACTCTAAAATTCTTGTGTTTGGTCTGCTTTACTTTTAGTTGCTTCTTTAATTTTGTGTAAGTTGTGGGAATCTTTTCTCGACATAATAAGTTCAAGTTTTGAATTTTTTTCTTCTAATTTATTAGTTAAATAATAATTGAAAATATATATAATTTCATTGACATCGTGATTTTATACAAAATAAATTTTCCCTCATTACGTATGCCATTTGTGGACATCATGATTTTATACAAACTGATTTACCATGAGCTCCAGAATTGGTTGCATATATTCTTCATTTACTTCCGATTTTATTGATGTTTTTATTACTTCAGTGAATATATAAAAGAGTTTCCTGAGATGTCTATTAAGTAATTGATTAATTTATGTAAATCAGTCACATGTTTACTGTATATTTTAAATGAGAAAGAGGGTTTACGGAAAGAATGATGGTAAAGAGCAGTGATTAGGAACTCGGTCTGTCTCGGCTGGTTCAACAGGTTGAATTGTGACCTAGAGCCTTCACCGGGCTCGGTTACAAGTTTCTATATTCATTCAAAACCTTAGAAATTTGGATATTAATTCGTAAACAATTGAAGACTAGAATGTTAGAGTTTTTTTAAGAGGAATGGCTGGTGAGTTGGTGGCAACAACGTCGATTTTTGGTGAGTAAATCAACAAAGAATCGCAAAACAATGTCTCTAGAAAAGGCCTGTTGTCATCGACGAGTGGGGAGGCGAACAGGGGAGGGGTGAGATGGGTTTTGGTCAGGAGGCTAAGGAGAGTGTTTTCGTGGTAATGGGGAGTGTTGTCGTCACCGGAAAAGGCCCGTTGTCACCAACGACTGGGGAGGCAAATGGGGGAGGGATGAGATAAGTTTTGGTCAGAAGGCTGAGGGGAGTGTTTTCGCGGTGATAGGAAGTGTTGTCGTTGTCGGAAAAGGCCTGTTGTCGCAGACGAATGGGAAGGCGAATGGGGGAGGGGTGAGATAGGTTTTGGTTAGGAGACTGAGAGGAGTATTTTCGTGGTGATGGGGAGTGTTGTCGTTTCTGAAAACAGACCCTATTTGCCGATGCTAACGGTAGTGTTTGAGGTGTTTTTGCAAACTTATAGGGATTTACATGTAAATTTTAGGAGTATTTTTGTTAGATTTCAAACTTTTGGACACCAGTTTGACCGGCGGCCCAGGACGCGTTGGCTTGGTCAGGTCACTGTACGGGTTGGATTTCTAATCACTGGTAAAGAGTCCTTTTGAAATCAAGATAAACTATAGGTGAAATCTTATCAATCCTGTTTAAATATTTAACATATACTTGTAAAATTGAATAAAAGCGATGCCTATAGTTATCGAGTTGTTCTTGTTGAACTTTTGACCGGGGGAAAGCCAATATCTTCTGCAAGGTCAGAATAATTCAAAGGTTTGGTACCATATTGTTGATCATAATCTCCAGAAACGCTGCCGTCTTTGAGCAACTGTTATAAACATCCCAGAAGGCTGCCGCTTAAGTAGATTTCTTTCAGCAGTCAAACTGCTGCCGTTTTTTTTTTTTTTTGTAAAAACAATTGTTGTTCCTCTTGTTCCAATGATTATGTCAGTCGAAAATTAATAAAATTTCTGCACAGATTTTCTCTCTCAAATCCCTAACTTCACACATATTTCGTTCATAGTACGGTGCTTATGGTCTGGAGGACTTAACATCTCACAGGTTTAATTTATTGCCTTGCACCTTTTGTTCTAGTGCCAAAACATGATTTCGCTTCGGTATGCTAATTAGAAACGAGTTAATATCTACTCTGAACTTGGTCCTTGCTTCTATTTTTGAGGCTATGTTTGGTCATGCTTCAAATTTAAATTCTCCACTGTGATTTAGACAAATTTAGAACAAGTATTTTGTAAATATTTTTGTCAACTTATGAAGATGTGTGTATATTCATTTTTTATGTTTGCACCTTTTTTTTTTTTTGTTAAGCACAATTGTGTCTGTAGTTTACACATGTCTTGACATATTGCATAAATTGGCACATTTTCTTAGTCTAAACTTGTTATAATATGTGTGGAGTCAATTGTGTAAACATTTTTCCAATTAGGATCAAATCTACGTGAAAGGTCTATTTGCAGGTACTGATATTTCAAAAGTGGTCCAGAAAGTTGTTGTGCCTTTTCACATGCGTCCAACAAAGTTTTTGAAACTTTCCTAAAATAGCCCAACATGTGTAAGCCTTTGTCAGCTTGTTGTTCTAAGGATATGGTGAGCAAGATTATATATCACCTTCTTCATCCTTGCGTTTTTCTTTGAACCTGAATATTCTATTATTTGTTCTCTAAAATTCCTCAAAAGAGTTTTATTACTTTGTTCAGATTCCTTTTTTTGCTTGTTCTTAACATTCTCATATCTTGTTTGAGTGTTTTTGTTGGAACATGGTCCCTTTGTTGAAAGCTTGATGGTAGTTCAAGCTGTGGAGCTGAAAGTTGACTTCGGCTATTGAAGCTTGAGTGGAGCTTGGCCGTCCAGTGGTTTCTTGGACTCAAGCAAATTGTAGCAAAGTGTTGGAGCAATCAGAGGTGGAGTTAAGAGTGTGTAGACATGGAGTGTTTTACATTGTTATACTTATCTTCAACTTTGTAATTGACTTGCAATTGTATGCTAAGTGAATTGTTTTGTCTGGACATGGTCCCATAGATGTGGTTGTTGGCCGACCATGTACTTTGAATGAGTGACATATAATCAGCTTAAGGAGGTAATTCTCCAGCATTACAATAAAACAATTCATCAGTTTTTGTCATCTTTCTTACCATTTGCTATATGTTCAACCGTAACTGTTGTAAAATACTAAAATCACACTTAGCTTAAGGGTGAAGCAAGAGTACCTTCTAAGCAGTGAGTTGCATCAACTATGTAGACATTTTGGATAAAAAATGTTTACGGAAAACTCAAAAGCGAAACCATATAGTGTGACAGACACTTTGAAGCTAATATATGCGTATTTGGATCCACACTGTCAGGCTTACACCTGTGCTGTAACTGGTACCTATCATTTCTTACCATATATTTCTTTGCCTTGTTTATCATTTTGCCTTATCATTTTTGCTATCTAGTTAACATAAGGCTTGGTTTAACTTATGTTTAAGCTAAATACAAAATTAGTAGTCAATTTTGCAATGCACTGACAAATCTATTATACTACTGTATAGTACCAATGTTGAGCTTGAACTAAGTCCTGCAATTTATCCAGGCTGGTTCAATTGTTGTGGAAAATTCTGAGTTCTTCTAAACATCAAAGAGAGCTTTTCCCAACGTTTATCCATATCTCTGTGGGTTTAGTGTTGAACAATTGTACATGTAACTATGCTAAGTAGTGACCAAAATCATGTCCATTTTTAAGAGTTATGTTACAGGTTTACGAATTGTGATTAAGTCATAGTACTTATAGATAATGTTTTACTAATGTTAGGCCTTTATTAATGCTTAAGCTTCTAGTGAACTGGTTTCCTAAAGTATCTAAATGTCTCGAGTTTGAATCTCTCAAGTTTCTATCCACTCAATCAATAAGTCTCTAGGATTTGTCATTTCTGGTTCTCACCACCGTACTTCGCCCTCTAATCTGCTTGATAATCGGTTTAAGTTTTGAGATCAAGATTCTTTCTTACAATTATATATTGAGGACACATCTTGTAATTTCAGTCTTTCATCATTTAATGAATGATGCTAAGATAGGGAAATATATGTATGTTTCCCATCTTTGAGCGACTACGTAGGTTTTCTTTTCATATTTTTTTTGACATCCGCTTGGTTTGTGTTTGGTGAGCGGCAGATTGATG